ACGAGCACAGAGAGGACGTACTGCACAGGCTCGCTCACGGCCCACAGGTCCTGCCGCGCTCGGGGGAGGGGATCAAACACAGCTTTCACATTCAGTGGGAAAGAGATTAAGATCAGAAACTGGTGAGGTTCCGCCGTCTGGGACTGGCATCAACATCCTGTGTGTCTGGATCTGCCAGGTCGCCCCGAGAATCTGGCACCGTCCTGCATGTTAACGGGTGCCTGGGGTTTCGGCCACGCCGCTCCCTGCTTCTCCTGGGGTACCCCTCCAGGGACAGGACCAGCCCCCCCTGCTGAGCAGGAGTGGGGATCTCTGGTCTGCGTACTCTCCCTGTCTCCTCAGTGTCAGATTCCAGTTTCAAATTCCAAGAGCTTTCCTGCTTTGGCTCATTAATTACCATGTGGTCAAAGCAGAAACAACACACCTTTAAGAGACATTTAAAACCTATTATTGGACAGTTACAAATGACACATAACCCTTTATTGAGAGACAGGCTCACTCTGTTCCTCAGGCTGTGTGTGACAGGAGATCTCATACTGGGCTGCAGCTCTGTTGACTGGGAGTTCTGATTCTGTCAGGAATGGGAATTCTGGGATTAGATTTGTTATTTTAGAGAAGAATGTTTCTCTAATCCCAGAGTATTTTTCACAGTGCAGCAGAAAGTGCATCTCTGTCTCTGCTTCTCCCTGATGGCAGTGGGAGCACAGCCTGTCCTCTCTGGACAGCCAGGTCTGTCTGTATCCTGTTTCTATGTCCAGGCTGTGGTCACTTAGCCTGTGATTCAATAGGCTCTGTTTCTCTTTGCTGTTTCTTAACTCCTGGTCAGATACTCAGCTAGTGTGTGTCGTCTGTTTAGTGTCTTGTAGCGTTCCAGTTTGTGTTGTGCTTGTGTGTGGGTGAGGTAGTGTTGTTTGATCTACGCTGTGATGTGGTTGACTCTGATTCGTGTTGTTTTAGCTGTGCTGTCCTGAGGCTGGCTGGTTTCAGTGAGCCTCAGGACCAGCTGGCTCAGGGGGCTCTTCCAGGGTTTAGAGCTCTTGACTCAGCAGGGGTGTTGCCATTTTCTTTGTTTTGTCTTCTGTATGTTGATTAGCAATGGATATTGGCCTAATTCATCCTTGCATACATTGTTTGGTGTTTTTCTGTGCGCATGGAGGATGTTTTTACAGAACTCTGTAAAAACATGTATGGTGTATTTGTCCCATCTAGTGTAATCCAGGTCTGTGAGTGGATTAAGCTTTTACAGGGCAGTGGGTTGGATTAAACTTTCAAATATTCACAGACAGATATTTATGAGAGGGCTGATATTGTACTAATCTCTCTCTCCTGCAATCTGTCTATCCCTCTGTGTGTGTGTCTCTTACAGGGACTCTATCTCTCAGATTTAGAAACCAGCTCACACAGGGACAGTCAAATTCAAACTCAAAGTGATCTATTGGCAAGCCAGATAAATTATAGTGTTGCCAAAGCAGAAACACCTCATTTATGGTACAAACATATTATTGAACATGTGCAAAAAACAAATAATGCATTCCCCAGGCTCGCTCTTTCTCCCTCGATGTCTCTGTCTCTATCTCTGTCTCAAATTCAGATTCAAAGAGTTTTATTGGCATGGCTATTGAATTACAGTGTTGCCAGAGTCTCTCCCTGTGTTGGCCTCAGGCTGCAGCCCTGTCTCCAGTTTCTCCGGGATTATCATACCAGGGATCGGCAGTGCTGCTCCTTGTGCTGTGACAGTAACAATTCCTGGTCCTGGGTTCAACTCCTGTCCTGCCCGTGGCATCTTTTTCGGAGGAGTCTGCATGTTCTTGCTGTGTTCTGATGGAATTTCTCCAGGTGATCCAGGTTCCTCACTCTTCCTGCTCACCTGCAGGGCATTGGGAGATACAACAGATGCCCAGCTGTTGTGGCCTGCCTGGGTCAAGTCTCTGGGAGCCAGCGGTGATGCTGTGTGCTGTCAAGGTCTCTGTTCCTTGTCTCTGTATCCATTTCTCACTGCTCAGGAGTGCCAACTTGAGGATCATCCTCTTGTATTGACAGGCCAGCTAACTTGGTATGCACCCTGTACTGGGGCCAGACCATGACTGGAAATTTGTGACTAGGGTTAGGGTTAGGCCAGGGCTGAGGCCAGTATTAAGTATAGCGTTCATTCAAAAGGTTGAGATTACAGTTAATGCTGTGGTTAGGGTTGAGGTTAGGATGGGGGTGCAGAGGAGAGGGGCTGAGTTACTGCGGAGGATGAGGGGCTGGGGTCAGGACAGGGTTGAGGCTAGGCTTTGGGTTGTGTCCTGCAACCACAGGCTCTTCTGAACCACCGGAAATCTCTGTGCATTTCATTAGCCTCCTTCCATCTATTTTCTAACCTCTTCCTCCAATTCGGGGTCACGGGGCGCCCAGATCCTGTCCCAGCATGCAACAGGCGCAAGGCAGGGTACACCCTAGACAGGACACCAGTCCATCACAGGGCAGACAGACACACACACTCACACTCACTCATTCACACCAGGGCCGATCTTCCCTGAAGCCTGTTACCCTCCCAGTCTGTCTTGGGGCTGTGGGAGGAAACCAGAGCACCTGGAGAAAACCCATATGATCATGGGGAGAACATACAGACTCCACACAGACAGCACCCCAGGAATTGAACCCGGACGCTGCTGAGCTCTGAGAGGCTGCAATGCTAACCACTGCACCACTGTGCCTCCCAGCTTGTTTCATTCTGTACATATTTCACTGTCTAGAACAGAATCAGACACAGAGAATGAACATGTGTGTGGTGGTTAATAAGCTGGGAAAATTGCTCATCGCTGGATGAAGCAAGACACGTTCCCAGCGCTCTCACAGGCATGACTAATCTACACACGCAACATGAGCGGACAGGCGCGCCCAACGATCCGGCCCCCGCCCACACGTCTGCTCAGTCTGGCGGAGGTGGAGCAGGAACCGGGCCTCCAGCCAGGCCCCCTGCAGCAGGCAGAGTGTGGGACAGCTGCCCGTGGGGTCCTGTCAGGCCAGAGCGAGGGCCAGAGGTACCCTGTGACTGCAGGGGGCTTGGGTGACCACTCCATGGGTTCATGCACTGTTTACACAGGCACACGCTGCTCAGGAGAGCACACTGTGCTGGGAGAGAACACTGTGGTGGGGGTACACACTCTTGTGCTTGGGGAGCGCGCTGCGTTGGGGGTGTACACTGTGTTTGGGGGAGCGTGCTGTGGTGGGGTGCACACTCTGTTTTTGGGGGAGCGCGCTGTGGAGGGGTGCAAACTCTCTGTTTTGGAGAGGACACTGTGTTGGATGTGTACACTGTGTTTGGGGGAGTGCGCTGTGTTGGGGTGCACACTCTTGTGTTTGGGGGAGTGCACTGTGTTGAGGTGCACACTGTGTTTCGGGGAGCACGCTGTGTTGGGGTGCACACGGTGTTTGGGGGAGCACGCTGTGTTGGGGTGCACACTCTGTGTTTGGGGGACCGCGTGCTGTGTTGGGGTGCACACTGTGTTTGGGGGACTTTACTGTGTTGGGGTGCACACTCTGTGTTTGGGGGAGCAAGCTGTGTTGGGGTGCACACTGTGTTGGGGTGCACACTCTGTGTTTGGGGGAGCACGCTGTGTTTGGGGGAGCACGCTGTGATGGGGTGCACACTGTGTTGGGGTTCACACTCTGTGTTTGGGGGAGCACGCTGTGATGTGGTGCACACTCTCTGCTGGGGTCGGATTACAATGTCCCTGTGTGAGCTGGTTTCGACCGAGGCTCTGGGTGCGCTGGGTCGTGCGTGACCTACGATCACGCTCTGCCCCTCCGTCAGACGGAGGAAACTGGTGCAGCGATGCAGCAGCCCTGCAGTCGCGCTTAATTCAGCAGAAAACGCGATTGATCTCTGACTGTGCTTAAAATCAGATTAAACACGCGTGTGCGAACGTTTGTAAATGCTGCGTGAGGAGAGCTGGCGGAAGACAATGCCGTTCATTCTTCTCCACTGTAATTTCCTAAATCCACATCACACAACAGCCCCTTTTTTCCTCTGTGAAACCGATGTCGCAGCGCGTTCTCATTCCTCATTCTGCCGCTGAGCAGGGAACAGCGTTTGAGCGCAGGACGCGGCGTGTCTGCCCGTTCAGAAAAGCACGCAGGGGAAACGTTATTGTCGTGGGAGGCTTGCGGCGAGATCTGTTCTGGGGAAGGCTGCGCCGGCCTTGGGAACCGGACGCTTTTGTTTTCACGCACGGCACAACCGCAGGCGCGTGCCGGGCGCTCGCGGCGATAAAGCACGACTATAAACGGCAGCGGGGCCGCCGACCTCGCGCGAGCCGCGAGTGGGGACCCCCCCCTCCTCCTCCTCCTCCTCCCAGGCCCAGAGATCTCCCGGCGCCAGACGGGAGCGTCCGGGTCCCAGGCCGAGCAGCTGGTGTCTGTGGTCAGGCAGTGTCCTGAGCTGGAGCGCGGCTGAGGCGAGAGGCTGCCCACAAGGCTAAGGCATCACTATACCCCACACTTACCGCGCACAGCCTGTAATAAAGACTGCGACCCGGCTGCTTGTGAAGCACCTCCGGCCGGGCCCTGGATAAATTATTTACCAGCGGTAACCGCGGTCTAAGCAACTGCGGGCAGCGAAATTATACAGTGTAAACTGTGCGTACACTGCGCTGCTGAATATATGTTCTTGTGGCTTCACGTGAAGTGCCCGGGACTTGTTTGATGAAAAAGAAGCTTTTTATTATTCCAGTCCAACCCCATATTCCTATTGAAATCACTCTCACTTAACTAAAGTCGAGACCTCATTCTTCTAAACATGCAGACGCACAGCGAGGCGAGCTTGTCTGTTCATTTGGAGCACATCTAGATGGTTACCTGATCCTTAATTAATAACCTCGGCTTTGGAAATACCCCGTCACGTCGTAACATTCCCTAAAACCTACCTATCTACGCACCAACCCCCACAGCTTTTCCTTTTATGTCGCCTAAAAAGTAACCATCGTCTTTCCAAAACAAAAGGACTGAGTGCGGCTCCTCCCCTTTAAGGCGCACCGCCCTTTAACCGTGCGGCTGGCTGGCGGTGTGTGCGAGCGCCGTGCTTGTTGTGTTTGAGGTCTGGCTACATTGTCAATATCACACGTTTTTGTGTATCGATGCGAAGCGATGGGAATACTGTAAATATGGCGAAGAAGCGGACTGCCCTGGCTCTGTTGTCTGTGGCTGGGTTACTGGCGACCTGCGACGGTAAGATGTCGGTTTGCGGTGGTGGGGGGGAGTTGTGTGTCTTCATATGTCCAGGCTTATTTATTCCCCCGAACCTGGCTGGGGCTCGGATTTTAAATTGCATTTCCTAGCACAGCTCAATATGGCGCAGGGACTGGGTAGCCGAGCAGACGGCAGCGTCGCGCCTGTTCAGAGTCAGTGGATGTTTCTAAGATCCACACGCGTTTAATGGCAAGCGAGCCGTGAACTCGTCCTGGGGATAATTTAATATTTTGTACCCGTCAGTCCATTTATTTTTTCGGTGGTCGGTGGGTATTAAACCGAAGCCCCACGCCAGAGCTCAGAAATCGGGGTTCGGTGTGTTGGGATGGCGGTGGACCCGTATGTACCTTGCCGACCCCAAATGGCGTTTAATTTTCGTGTGGAAATTGAATTTCCCGAAGCGGGTTTATGCTCGGAGGTGGTGTGTGTGGGGGGGTGCGTCCATATTAACAATGACGTGTAGTATTTTTAAATGTCCCGGCGACGTAAGCATGGCATCGAAACCAGGGGAGCTCTGTCCCCCAGACCCTGGGAGTGGTTTGAATTTAAACACCGGTGAAGAGTTGACCCCCCTCCCGTCCCCGGTATGGCTGTTAAATCTTGGAAAAGGTGTGTGTAGTGTTCAAAAACAGCCCAGGTTCTTCTACGTGCCCGTGCCTGAGGTGTATCAGCTCGACTGAGGCGGCTGGTGTGTGCCCCTGTTGCGGTCACGGCCGGACTGGTCTGTATTCGGGCCGGGTGTGTTGCTCCAGAACAGCGGCGGGTCTGATTCTGTCCGCTCCTCGGGTCAAGGCCGAACCCGGCACGCGGAGCGCAAAGCCTTGTGGTTCACTGCCCAACCCCCCCTTCCCAGTCTCCAGGGTCGCGCACCTCACCTGCTCTCCTCAGCCTCGCGCTGCTCGGAGCTCAATCCGGGACACGCTACGTGCTGCGGCGGCGCGCTCGCCCGGCTCCGAGCCCGGCTGCTGTTGAACAGCGGAAATGTCCAGCCAGCTCGTCCTGAACCACGGTTTCCCCGAGTCTCCCTACACTCTGGTTATGGCTACGAAGTCGGGCGGGCTAGTGTTGCTGTCGTGATACTTTGTGTTGATGTCTGGAAGAGTTACAGTAATGAGAGCCGTTCATAAAATCGCGTGTGCAGGTCCACACGGGTGTCTTTCCGTGCCCTAGTCACACCGTGGTCAGTCAGTACTAGCAGGCGGTGTGGGATGCCGAGACTGGATCGTGTGAGTGCGTCCACACATCTGAACGTGTTCGGTACGTGTCGTGTTCTGTCGTCCGTCTTCGTAAAATCGCAGCAGGGGACCGAGAGAGCAGAGTCTCTGTGCTCCTGCTTCCCAGAAGAATGCTGTCTGGCCGCTCGGGAGAGCGGGGGCGGCTGGCTGCGTTGTGGGATCCGGTGTCGCGGCGCAACTGAGAAGGGGGGGGTCAGGGTTCATGAAAGGACTAGCAATGAGGGGGCTCCCTTTATCCACCCTCCAGACAGATCTCCCTTTGTCCTGCGTGTGGCGTTCCCAGGTTTCCACAGGCACGAGGACCGGCCTCTTTAGCGGGAACAGGAGAGGAACAGCCAGCAGGCAGGGAAACCAGCGGGAAGCTCAGCATTGCAAGGGTAATGCAGAAGGCCTGGCTATAGCTGGCAGTGTGATCTGGATTGATCCATTTCAGAACCCCCTGTGTCTGCAGCCGGGGCTGTGGGACCTGCAGGAAAGTGTCCACTGTCAG